CCCCTTAGCTGTTATAAATTCACTGTAAACCATGGCTTCACGGGGCTTATTGCTTTTATAAAACGGTTATTCCATATACGTAGTAAGGTTTCACAAAATAAAACAGAGCAAATAAAGTGTAATGATAATAAAAACATTCTTTTGCCAAACAATGTAGTTCCTCAGAAACGGTTGTGGTTGTAACAAATTGGTTGCCGAGCAACACACAGACGTAAACAAAGGTGTACCTTTGTAGAGTAATTTACAACAGCTTCGAACGCGGCTCAACCAATCAGAATCAAGGACCGGAACTATTTGTTTTATAAGTTTAAAATAGCTGGGCTAAGATATATAAAAAATTTTATGACTGCAGAAATATGTTAATTCAGTACACACATTATCCCACAATTGTGACCGACCATAAAACACAATTTTTCACACACTTTTCCCAAAAAATTCAAAGGGATTATTTCAAAGGGTTACTAATGACACATCATTTAAATATTTTCATGTCTGGGAATTAATTTGAGATTAAACGGGTTAAAGTTTCTATTAAAATAAAGTTAACCACAGACCGTAAAGGAATAGTTCACCCAAAAATCGCCCTCAGATCATCCAAGATGTAGATGAGTTTGTTTCTTCATGGGAACAGATTTTGAGAAATTTAATTTGCTCACCAATGGATCCTCTGCAGTGAATGGGTGCCGTCAGAATGAGAGTCATATAATGATATAATTGGACAATAATCCAAAAGTAATACACACAAAGTCTCCAGTCAATAAATGTATGTCTTGTGAAGTGAAAAGCTGCATGTTTGTAAGAAACAAATCCATCAAGATTTTTTTTTTTTTTTTACTTTAAACCATAACAATGTTTCCTCCAATGAAAAAGCCAATTTCCTGTTGTCCTTTCACATCTAAAATCCACCGACATATTTGTTCAGAACAAGTGATTTGGACTGTTTGCGATTGTAAACGGTGCTTGATCTGTGCATATTTCTCTCCTGGTTCAGACTAAACTACTTTTTCACCAGATAAAGCAATATTATGGATAGTGGACTCATATTTTAGCTAGAGTTAAAAATGTAGTTGTTTATTACAAACAAGCCTTGCTAATTACAATGCTTTTTTTTTTTTTTACTGCACAACACAAAACTGATGGACTGGAGTCGCGTGGATCCATTGGTGAGCAAGTGATGTAACGCTTAATTTCTCCAAATCTGTTCTTGGATGGCCTGATGGTGAATAAATTTTCAGCAAATTTTCATTTTTGGGTGAACTATTCCTTTAACATACTCATAAATCGAAAACAGCTACACTAAAAACCCATTGGAAATGTAATATATTGCATGTAAGCATCACATTGGACAGTTGTTTGCTATTACATCACAGACTGACATCATACACTGATCTTTTTTTTGTTGATTACTGATCTCACATTTAATTAAACCTGTCTTCTTATCATTTTACCTCCACATGATTGCTTTTGCCAAACCTGATGACTTCAAAGCTAAGCCTAGTGATGCTGGGCCTGTGTTTGCACTAACTAAATTACTCCAGCCATTTCATTTCCCGGGCTGTGTTATATGCTGACTATACTTATCACTGGTGTTTAAATATGATATCCTCTCTTCAGGGTTCTGTGTCCGCAGACTGTCTTTATCTGCATTAAAGGTTACCAAGACCTTCTCAAAACACTGAGAATGAGCATCTAAACTCATTATGCTCAGAATTACTGACATTTCAAATCTAGAGTTAATACATAAATTTAATAAGGTGGTAGAAACTACCTTTTGTACATAGTGGGACTTTATTATAGCCTGAAGGATGAATTAAGGGCACGTATTTCTGCTTCTCTAACGGGCTCACTGTGTCAGACATTTAGAGCTAACTGTTTATTGGCTGTTGGGTGAAGAGGAACATCACTGTCATTGACCATGTTTACATGCACATACAAATTTGGCCATATTTATATTCTGTGTGTGTCCTGTAAATGCATTAACCTGATCAACATAACTTATATTACCTTCAAATTTCAATATACCTGCATCAAATTAAATAATAAAGATAATCCAGAATATGGATCTTAATGACTACATGTGGTCACTGAGACTGCAGAGTACAGTACATGCAGTACTTTGTTAATCTAAAACTAAGCCGCATATGGATTTCCAATATTTCAATCCTGTTTTGGCAATTGAACATTCCATGACCCATCATTTCAAAATGCTGTGGCAAGAGTTTTGTCAGGTTCAGTGATGCATGGAGCTTAAACACATCAGAAATTTCTGACAACAGTGGCAACATTTAGCTGCTTAACAGTGAAAAAGTAAGCTTTTCTACTTAAATATTTCAAAGATGACAAAGTAATAAGACAGAATTTATGCCATAAAGAAACAAAAACAAGTACTAAAATGCCA